TTTCTTTAACGTTGAGCAACRTTTAATCCTTTATTTGGCAAAGTTCCTCTCACAGTTGCCTCTTTGATTAAACGCCATCAGCGTTTTTGCTCTTTCATCGAATTGTTTTCCAAAGAAATATTAAGCAAGGCAGAAGATAAAAGCACGGTTGGATTGCAAATTTACARAGTAATGTTTTTTAAACAAGCAGACAGACAGGTTTTGGCACATTCTTGGSAGGCATTCTGAGTTAATTATTGGCTCCGACATGCCAGGCTGATGGTTCTGTGAACATTTTTGTAACAAAAKATTCTCTTAATAATGTTCTAGAGGATCTGAAATAATAAGTGTTTATTAGCTATGACAATTAGAGAGGGTTCTAACCTGTTTTGACACTGTTTTTCTTTACAAGTTAAAAGTCTGGCTAAAATTTGAATGAATTTTTTTTCTTATAACGTACAACAAAGATGTTTGACGAGAACTCCGATATTTGTTTTGCTCTGTTTTAAAGAACAGCCATTWAAACCATTTGGAACCACTTTTATCGCTTAGAGGGAAAACAAGTACGTACATGATTTCACTTTTTGTCGGCACTCATCTGATGTTAATTCGTTTATATCTTCAGGATATCTGTTTCAACTTCTTGGTTTGTTCTAGATGATTGAGCTGAAGATCTTTTCATGGGATGCATATCACCCGCCATCTTTATGCCACCACGTTAGTGACATAATAAGATGGAGAGAAAGTGACTTTTTTTTATTTTAAAGTGATGAAGGATGATTATAGGAGCRCTATGGTATCAAGAGGGGTCACAGTGTGGGGCAAACAAGTGTCAAAGGTCTGGAAGGAGAGTTTTTTGTTTTTAATTTTTATTATTTGGCCATGCAGGATGAAACTGATGCGTGAATAAACACCATTCTTTTGTTAGATATGGCTTAGCTATGGCTAAAAATTTAATAATTTAAGTTTAATGAACAGTATTCAAACTGGATAAATAATATTAACAGAAAAACAAATGTGAAAAACTGTCTCCACTGACAAATAAGATTTTTGTCTCAAATTCAGGCACAAATCTGCAATAAATGATCATAATCAAATATAACACTTTTAAACAAAAAGAATGGGTGGTTTTTGGAGAAGCTTTTCCTCTGAGGGATTAGATAAATATTAGATTTTTACCATATCAAAGCAACAAAACATTATAATAAACATTTTAAAAGAAAAAGTGTATTAAAACTATTTATATGTAGAAAAATGGCTCAATCTTAAACTTTATCAATCCAAGTACATCAAAATTAGGTTTATCCAAACATGATTTATCCTTATACTACGGAAGCGTGTTGCTATCAGGCAGGAAAAAAAAAATCCGAGCGCTATCACGTTATAACGTGATAGTATCTTGTTAAAACGTGATACGTATCACGTTTTAACAAGATACTATCACGTTATAACGTGATAGTATCTTGTTAAAACGTGATACGTATCACGTTTTAACGTGATAGTATCTCGTTTTAACGTGATACGTATCTCGTTAAAACGTGATACGTATCTCGTTAAAACGTGATACTTATCTCGTTAAAACGTGATACTTATCTCGTTA